AGTCTGGTTTTATTTAAGCTGTGATTCATGAGTTTTGACCTTACCAAGTTCAAATGCAATTGAGAGGAGAAAAGTTGTATCAACTTGACCAGTAGGTATTAGTTTGGGGGAGACCGGGCACATCACAAGTTACTCTTATCTGCTTAAGGATTTCATAACATTCCTCATTGACTTTACTGAAAACCAGGAGGATTTAGCTTCTTTTTTGATATCCTGTGATTCTACACCCTTGCTTGGGTACCAAGCCACAAACTCAGATAGAAATAAGATGTTTCAAGCCTGGTAGGTGGTGTTTGCTGGTAATCCCGGCCACTCAGGAGGCTGAGGTAGGAGGATGGCCTAGGAGTTCAAGAAGAGTCCAGGCAACACAGTGATACCCCATCTCAAAAGAAGAAAAGAAAAAAAAAGGAAATAGAATGTCTCAAGTCCTTTGGAAACATCTATTGCATAATCATAGATTCTATTTACTGAGAGCCCCAATCGGCACGGCATTTTTCTTAAGCATTAGACAATTGTCTCATGATATCTTTACACACAAAATATTATTTCCCTTTTACAAAGGAGAAAACCAGGGCCCAGAGAGGTTAAGTCACTTGCCCAAAGTCACATGGCCAAAGAGCCCCATGTTATATTCTGCTCCTATATTGTTAGAAAACAAGATGTTCACTGCAAATAATTCTACTCTGTCCTCTGAGGATGACAGGACCCCCTGAAGAGGGGAGAGAGAGGGCATCTCTTCTAAAACACGTGCTGTTCCAGAATTCTCCTGGGTCCAGAGGCAGTACCACCCCCAGTTTGGCAAGAAGAAGGAGGAAGCTCTTGGGTTCCAGCCATTGAACTTTGCTGGCAGCTCAGGAAATCCAGCCTGGCACTCGATCTTGTCTTAAGTTTCTGCAGTTGAATCATGATGAATCAGGAAAGCACATGACTGAGCTGAAATCAAGGGGGCTCCGGTGGTCCCGGAGCTCTGCCTCCCACAGGCAGGAGCAGCTGGGCATGTGAGCACAGAGTGTGAGCACACACACACACACACACACAAACTCACACTCACCCCCATCCCCCAGGACCTTGTTGTTCAGCCTGAAGTTGGGAATTCCCAGCCGTTCATTTCTGTTTTTCTGCCTGGCCTCACCCTTTTGGGGAATGTACAGAGGACAGAGCAGAGCAAAGAGGAACTAACAGAAAGGGCAGGAGGCCAAGGGCAGCTACCAAGGGACCTGAGAGCCCAGGTTGTGGGGCGTGATTCTGGGCAGAACAGGGGCTGCAGCTCCGGGGGACAGTTCCCAGGTCCCCCGACTCCGGCTCCTGAGCCTGAATTCCACAGGGTTCTACTTTTAAGAATCGGCCAGTGACACTTTTAGAAACAGTGCTTAAGATTCAAATTCTGGAAAAAGACTTTGGGTCGTACCCAGCTCAGCTGCTTAAAAGCTGTGTGACCTTGAGGGAGTCCCACATCCTTGGGCACATAGATAACTTAGCACACTGCCTGGCACCTGGCCCAGTCAGTCAGTGACAGCGATCGATTGTTATTGCACATGACATTATACAACAACAGCCCCATCCCGACGCGGGACCAGCGCTGGGAATCGCTTCCTGGAACTCTGGAACTGAAAGAGAAAAGAAAACGGCACAAATATTGCCAGGTCCCTGGGGAATTGCTCTGAGCCCAAATCCAGGTCTGTCCCTCTCAGCCTCTTCCTGAGCCTGTTGGAGGGTCCCACGTCACCTAGAGGGGAGGGTCCCAGCACTGCCATGCGGAAACTGGCCTCTGCCTCTGGCGGAGGGGCAGCGAATACAGAATCCTGCAGAAACTGCAAACCCAGCCTCCACGGGGCTTGGTAGGTAGTAAGATGTGGAGGTCAGTGGAGGTCAGAGGACGTCAGGGCAAAGAAATTGGGTGCCTATCGTGGTCTGGCTTTCTTGACCTACTTACTTTTTTGAGGGGAGGGGTACGGGGGATTGAACTCAGGGGCACTTGACCACTGAGCCACATCCCCAGCCCTATTTTGTATTTTATTTAGAAACAGTGTCTCACTGAGTTGCTTATCACCTTGCTTTTGCTGAGGCTGGCTTTGAATTCAGGATCCTCCTGCCTCAGCCTCCCCAGTGGCTGGGATCACAGGCGGGAGATACCACACCCAGCTGACCTACCTACTTTTGATGGAGACTTGGGTTCAGAGAAAATCATCTTATAAGAACAACAAGAGAAAAGAGACAGTCAGTGGTAACTGAAGCACCCGAGGAGAGGGGGTGGTCTCACCCTGGCCTGCCCCACCTGCGGCCCCTGCCCACTGCCCCCCTGGGGGATTGTGAGTCTGTGAGGCCAGATCTTCTATGACACTGAGAAGATGTAGGAAAGGGAGTCCCCGTGTGCATTTCTGATTTTTAAATGTTGCCTCTGATTTTTAAAAGTACCATGTAGGCATTGAATCAAAAATGTCATTAATGGTAGGATGTCCTGATATCTAATTAATTAATGAAGCTATGATGAGCCGTTGATTGCAAAGCAAATTCCAATTCCCAACCTGTCACCGTGGGGAAAAAAGTGCTTCTTAGAATCCATGAAATACTGTCTGTCAACAGGCTGGACTTGACCTGGGGCAGCTGAGGGGCCACTAGGAGGCTCACACTTGGGTCACATCCGTGGACTCCTAGGTCCTTTGAGATGTTCTAACCCTCATTAATCTTTGTTTTAATCAGGAACGAACCAAGGTAGTAAAGAGGAAAACGTGGCCCAGTTTGCTTCATGAGTCACTGGGTCACTGACGGTGATAACAGGGTCCCTGGGGTGGTGGCTCAGGGGGCCTGGGGTAGGGTTTCATAGAGGATTCTGAGTCTTACCAGACAGAAGACATCTCACATCCTTTTTTTTTTTTTTAATATGGTGCTGGGGATCGAACCCAGTGCCTCATGCATGCTAGGCAAGCGCTCCACTACCGAGTCACAACCCCAGTCCTCACATCCACTTTTAAACAGGCCCAGAGAGGTAAAGACGCTGGCCCAGCATCACACAGCTGGCAGAATAGACCCGGCCAGAGCCCAGCCCTCCTAAGCTGCATCCCCAGTACCCCTTCTCCCTCCTGCTAGTTGTCAAAGTTCCCGTCCCCTGCTCCAGGCAGGCTGGAGATGGGGCTTCCCAGGGCCCATACAGGGCGAGGCCTGTCCCTGTTCCACCCCGCTGGGGCCTGCCCCAGAGAAATCACCCTTATTTGATTCACAAGACTTTTGAGTTTTATTAATAAAATACAAAATGGCACAGACATTGGTAATGAGGGTTGAAAAGCAAAAGTATCAATCCACTCCTTCAAGATCCTTCCCAGAGTGTCTCTGTGCATGTCCTGCCGAGGGGACCTCGTCCAGCAGCCTTCTTACACGGGAGGGATGTCCCAACAAGAAGCCAGCGCAGAGTGCACCCCGCCCTGCCCTCTGACTCCTGTCAGGAGTCCCCACCTGAGGGGCGAGGCCCACCTAGGCCAGGCTCCTGACAGCCGGGGGAAGGGCAGGTGGCCCAGCTGGGTTGACTTCCTCTGAGCAGCCACCTGGTGCAGCCCAGCCCTGCAGAGGCTCCTCAGTAGAGAGCAAAGGTCAGTCTTGGGGACAGCCAGAGGGAGGGGTGAGCTGCCACAGGGGCCCTAGAGGCCTAGGTCTGTAGGTCCAGCCCAACAGCTCACCTCCAGGCCTGACAGGATCTCCAGCAGTCCAAAAGGGAACCCAGGACTTTGTGGTCACAATCACCCTCCCTCGCCCCTCTCCCCCAGGGCAGAGTCCCTTCCAGAGCTAAACACAGGACTCCTGAGGTCCTCACGGGAATTCCTGGCCCTGCCTGCAGCGGAGTCAGGTGAGGGACAGCACCCAGGGAGCTGGGCTCTCCAGGAGAGAGGGAGGCGGGAGGGAGCCCTGGAGTGTGCACCACGGGGAGCCACCCTGCACATGCCCTCAGGTCACACCCAGAGAACGCTCTGGACTTTCCCTGGCACCTTCCACAGACTGCTTGGCCCCTCTTGGGCGGGTGGCGGCTGACATCCCCCCCAACATACACAGGTCCTCCTGTCAGCGCAGAGCCTGGACAAGGAGGGGCTTCCTCTGTTCCCACAGGTCCCCCAGGCCAGCCCCCACTTGGAGACCCACAGCACAGGACCTGAACTATAAAACGGCCCTTTGCAGGTCCCCCAGGAGTCAGGAGTGGCAGAGACCCTCTAAGTGCTCTGCGGACGAGGCTCAGGCAGCATTGAGGGGCCGGGGAGAGGGTCTCGCAGAAGTCTGGGAGTCAGCAGTACAGCCATGGCACGGACCCCCATCCCCCCTTCCTTTTGCGGGGTGGGCGGGTGGGTGGAGTGGACCCCAGCCACCAACTCAAAGTTCCTTCACTGCACAGAGGAGACCCAGGAGGAAAAACATCCATGCCACTAAATGACCTCAGCTCCCTCCCCACGGTGCCAGGGGCTTCTCCCAGAGCAGGTCTGGGAACACCACACGAGCCTCATGCAAGAAAGACATGGCCCCTGTTGTGGGGTGGGCTCTGTACAAGGGACAGGGAGAGATAGCACCGCAGCTGGCCGGGGTGACTGGCAAGTGCAGCAGGACCAAGAGACACAGAGGTCTGGGGAGGGGACCGAGGGCCTGGCCTGTCACTCATCTTGAGATGGGAGGAGGGCAGTCCTCACAGGGAGGGTCAGAGGGGGCTGGGCGTTCAATAAATAATTGTTCACTGGGGGCTGGGACAGTGTCCAAGGGAACCTCTAACCAGCCAGCAGCAGAGGAGGGTTCTCGGGTTTGGGTGAGTTGGAGGCCGCACCTTCTGTCCCTCGTAGGTTGACAGTGGTCAAGGGTGGCCTCCCGGGGCCACTCCTGGGGGCGCCGAGCAGCTTGCACCAGGAGATCCTGCCTCCCAGGCTCCATCATCCCAGCTCAGGCCAGGCCCTGGGGTGAGGGTGGGAATGAGGATGGGGTCCCCAGGCAGCTGTCTGAATCAAACAACGGGACACAGGCAGGTGGCCAGCTCACACTGGCACCAGGACATAGGAGTTACTGCCACAGCTCCGGGGGACATAGCGAAGGCCTTCCACCATCTCTCCCGCCATCTTGCGGGGGCAGCCCTGGAGGCTTTGGTAGGCGAACATGGCCACCCCCAGGCAGAAGAGGAGGCCAAGGAAGGCCAGCAGCCCCACTGCCTGCCTTCGGGTGGCTTCCTGGGGGCCAGGGTCAGTATTGATAGGGCCAGACGTATTAGTCAACCTCTGGGTATGGGTGGGCTCCTTAGTTTTGGGGGCCCAGCTGCCTGAAGCCACTGGCTCCTGGCTAGGGGTCCCTTCGGAGGAGACAGGGACCACAGGAGCGTGGGTCATCTTTCCAGGCCCCGAGTCCTGGGACGCACCCCTGGGTGTTGAGACAGGACTCATCTCCTCAGGCCCTGGAGAGGTCTCTGGACTAGGGGTCTGTCCCCTGCCCGATGTGGGCTGGCCTTTAGACAGGGTGGTCTCCTCGAGGGCTGGGTATGACATGTCGGGGGTCTGGGTGGAGGGGGGCTCCGTGGAGAGGACCTGGGTGGAGTGGGTCTCAGAGTGGGCCTTTATGACCCGGAGGCCAGGCCCAGTTTGGCTCTGCTGGGCAACAGTGGTCGAGGCCACAGCTGTCCCGATCGGCTCGGTGCTCCTTGGCCCAGCGGGAGGCCTTTCCTCTGGAGCCTTTGACGTCGGGGTTGACCTGTACCCTGAGGAGTCCGTCGTCCCCACTGGCAGCTTTGGGGAAGTCCCCATGGACCTCTGGGCCTCCTGAGAAGAAGTCGTCACCTCCAAACTATTGCCTTCCCCTGTGGCTTCAGGCTCAGAGAATGCAGGATGGGACTGTCCCTCGGTGGTGGCTGGGGTGATCGTGGGCTCTGAGCCAATGTGCTTCTCAAACGTGCCGCCATTTTGAGTCTGAGCCGAGCGGTTTAGATGCTTCATTGCTTCTTGGACCCATTTCTCCTTTGGGTCGGCACAGAAATATTTGTGCCTTTTGGTCTCCAAGCTACAAGGGAGGAAGACAGGGACCCGGTGATGCCCAGAGACAAGAGAGCCGGGGAGGTGGGAGTGGGGGCTGCCCAGGCCCGGCAGGCCAGCAGACTCCATCCTGGCTCCCCAGCCCGAGGGCCCCGGGATCACGCCCCTGGCCCACCAAACCTCACGGGGCCTGGAGACAGAAATGCCCGGCAGCAGGAGCGGGGCTGACCCAGGCCCCAGAAAAATCCTGTTGGAAGACATTCTCTTTCTAAACCAGGGAAGTCCTAGGCAAAAGGGGCCAGGTTGGTGGCCCTGCTTCTTATATTGTTTAAAAAAAATAAAATAAAAGGTAAAACTTAAAAAAAAAAAAAAGCAAAAAACAAAGTTATGTAAAAGGAGTACCCGGAGTAGGAAGTCAGGAAAAGCTGAAAATATCACCCACACTAATGATCCTGCCGTCACCCTGGAGGCAGGGGCTCTCCCTGATGGGGAGGGAATGTCTCCGCTATTTTTTGAAGTCAGGTGTGTGATAAGGAAGCTCCGTGGTGGGGACTCTCACTCTGGAAAAGACCCCATGCCTCAAAGCCCTGTTGTTCCTCTCCCCCCATTTCATGGCCGCCACCACCCACCAGACCCCTCCCCCTCCTCATGTGTGCTCAGGCTGAAGGCCTTCTGGGAGCCCGTGGGGGTCCTGAGTGTCTTCCAGCTCTGCAGTTTCCTCTGAAGCTGGGTGCAGCTGGACCACCCACTGAGTCTAAAGCGTGGAGCAGCCTGGGGCTCTTGCTCCGTGCCGTGGTCTGTGTACTTCCTACCCGGCTGGCAACCCAGATGCCAGGATCATCCCCATTTTCCAGATGAGGAAACTGAGGCTCAGATGAGCCTGGCCCTGGTGTTCTGAGAAGCCAGAGAAGTCCAGGAAACTGGGGTGATCCTCACCATGATCCCCTCCCGCCAATTCCCCTTTACCTAGAAAACAGAAATAATAATTTGGGGGCATCTGGCAGAAGTGATCTTTGACCAGCGAGCAAAGAGGTCAGGCAGGAGCATGTGCCACACCTTGAGCCTCGAAGGAGCTGCATGGCCGAGGGCAGGAAGCTCTGAACTTCCTTGAGCAGAGCCTGGACAACAGATGGCTACTGGCCATTTCCTGTCCCTGGCCTGCGGTCTGGTTGAGGCTGCTTGAGGACCCAAAAGAGAGCCCTGTGGAAGGGTCTCAGAGCTGAGGAGCTAGGCAGTTACCCACAGGGGCACTGGGGTGGGGGGAGTAAGTGACCAGGATGGCCAGGGAGAGAACGGCTCAGCTTGGCCCCTTCCCAAGTCCCCCAGGGCCCCGTTTGTTTCCTCATCCACCAAATGGCCATAATGATCCTGGTGGGGTCCAGGCATCCTGCCAAGCCATGAATTACATTGTCTCTTTCATCTTCATCTTACCGAGGAGGAAGCCAAGGGTTGGGGTTAAGCAGTGTGACCAGGCCACCAGGCCAGTCACAGGCAAGGGCAGGACTTGCACCCAGTCTGTCGGGGCCTAGTGTGCCCTGTCGGGATGCTGCGCGTTCCTTCCCTCAAGACCCAGCAGGGTTGGGGGCTGTGGACTACACGCTGCAGCCCAGGAGCAATGAGCCCTGGGTGGCTGCCGCAGGCCGCAAGCCACGGCCCTGCCCCTTGGCCACCCTGGGCCATTCAGGAAGCCACTCCCCACCTTGGTCAGGTGGCCCAGATATTAAGGTCCGTGAGGTGGCCTGCAGCCCGGGAGCAAGGGGAGCATTTGCCAAGGCCTTTGGTGGGAGCCCAGGGTGAGGTGCGCAGGTGCGGATGGGGACCACGTGGGGGCCCGGGACCCACGTGGGAGGGTTGTGAGGGGAGTACCTACACGACAGCGCGCCTGCCGCAGGACTCCGGGTTCTTCCAATAGCCGATGAGTAAATTCACGGGGATTGGTCGGGTCATCGTGCTGCACGTGATGTTGCATTTCGTCACACCGTGGTGCTGTCCTGTGTCAACAAGGCCTGGGTCAGCAGGACTACTCATGGCCTCTGGCTGCCCATCCCCAGGCCAGACCGCCTCTGCCACACCGCCTAAGCTAGAAACCCATCCCAGCGCTGGCTTTTGAGGCACTGGACTCAGCCCCCGCCTCTTGATGTCACTAGGCCTGAGTTTTATGCCACATAGGGACAACTGTAGCACCCACCTGCTAAGGCTGTGGTAAGGGCTAGGGGAAGTAAATTCTTGTTTACAAAGCTCTTTTTATCTAGCCAGGCAAGGTGGTGCATGCCTGTAATCCCAGCAGCTGGAGGGCTGAGGCAGGAGGATCACAAGTTCAAAGCCAGCCTCAGCAAAAGAGAGCTGCTAAGCAACTCAGTAAGACCCTAAATAATATGCAAAATAGGGCTGGGGACCTGGCTCAGGGGTTGAGTGCCCCTGAGTTCAATCCCTGGTATTAACACCCCCTCCCTCAAAAAAATAAAAAATAAAAAAAAATAAAAACTTGCTATGTGCCAGATAAAAAGAACTTTGTAATTTTTTTGAGAGGGGGGTTGAACTCAGGGGCACTGGACCACTGAGCCACATCCCCAGCCCTATCTTGTATTTTATTTAGAGACAGGGTCTCGTCTTACTGGGTCGCCTGGTGCCTCGCCCTTGCTGAGGCTGACTTTGAACTCGGATTCTCCTCCTCAGCCTCCTGAGCTGCTGGGATTACAGGTGTGCATCACCGTGTCCACTAGATAACATAGTTTATAAACATGCAGGTAACAGGTGCCTTCTAAGAAGGTGGGGTCTGCAGAAGAGGTGCCCCTTTGTTTGCAGAATGAGCTTTAGAGAAGAAAAGAGGCATCCGGAGTCCCAGGAGCAAGAGGAGGAAGGGGGAGGGAAGGAGCTGGAAGGGCAGGCATGGCAGGGGTGCAGATGGGGCGGGCAGGGGTGCAGATGGTGGGTGGCAAGAGGAACCAGAGTGGAACCCCAGGAGCGGTGGGGTAACTAAACCCAGTCGTCTGATAGAAACATTGAAGTTGCCTGCACTGCATTCTGCCTTTCCCATTCTTCTAAAATCTCCAGCAGAATTTTGTCTGTTTGGTAGAAGCTCAGGGAAAATGGGTGTCAAAATGGGGAAGAGCTTGAGTCTCAGATCTGGGTCAAGGTTATGTCCAGCAGCAGCAAAGACCCCGGAGAGTTTTGCAAACATCTAGAACCTTCCAGGGCAGTGGAGTGGAGAGACAGGCCTGATCTGAGCTAGCTCTTCAGGGCTGATCCCTCCGTTCCACCAAAACACGGCCTGCTCACACACTTACACACGGTGGACGTGCGCATGCACACACCACACACACACACACACACACACACACACACTCTTCCTAGAATCTGCTGCCTCCTCGCCCCGTCACTCCCCTTAGCCTTGGCCCAGGCCACCTGCGGGAGGGTGGGCAGAGCCTGCAGCTCTGGGCTGGGTCACCAAAGGGCAGCACTTCCAGGAACAGCCCCTTCCTAGGACGGACAGGAGGGGCTGCTCTACTCTGCAAGGAGACAGGATGTGAAAGTGACCGTGCGGAGTTGTCATCCTCCTTTTTCCCCAGTGGGACCTCAGAATGACTCAGCAGCAGCCTCTTAGGGTCTCTTGAGGGGAGCAGGCAGTAGCCCCTGAACTGGTGTGGCAGGTGTCGTCCTGGGGAAGCCCCAGAAAAACCGTGTCCCTGAGTGACATAAGATAAGCAGGGCCGCAGGTGGGAGGGGAGCCCCCACATCCAGGACGGGGAAGCCACGGAGGCCTCCATCTAGGAAAAGCCACACAGACACTCTGCCCCAAAGCCCCCACCCTCCTCCACGGCCGGCAGGACATTCGGTCCCACCAGGATGGCTGAGTTGCTAACCTGGGGGAGGCCTTTCACTTCCGGGGGCTGAAGTTTCTACAAATAGAGATAATGCCACCAGTCACCCAGCCAGCCCCCTACTAACTGTCCACTGAGTATCAGGACAGCAGGGAGCTTGTCTGTCTTGGTGTCACAGTTTTTTGCAGCATCAAGCCCAAGGTGGGAACTCAATATTAATATTCACAGAATGAACTAATGTCTCCATCTACCTATCCCTCTTTATGTTCCCACCTACTATCCACTCATCCCTCCCCCTTCCACTCTGCCACCCACTCATCCCTCCCTCACCCCCCCCCCCCCCCCCCCCTCCCCCCACCCCTCTATCTATCCACCCACCCTCTATCTTCCCCCTCCAGTCAATCTCCTGCTCAGCCCCACCCACCTATCTACCTGCCACTCATTCCCCATTCATCCAACTGCCCGCCCCCCACTCACCCACCTACCACCTGTCCATGCTCAGCTTCCCTTCATCTCACCCTCCCACCTGCTTTCTGTGGTCCATCCTCCTCCCCAGCCATTCACCCATCCTTCCTCCATCCCTCCATCCTCCCTCCCCCATCCGGAGGCAGCCGACACTTGCTCCAATTTTTTGAGGATATACAAATTTTTTTAGGTCCTGTTCTCCTGAACCCTGGTAGGCTCTTTCCCCACAGGTGCTGGGACTGAAGACAGCACCTCAGTTCCAATAAATGGGACTGACACCAAATCACCATATGTACCCAGTTAACCACAAAGTTTGATTCCTTCACCTCCCTAGACCCTGTGCTGGGTGCTAGGAGGCACGGGGGGGGGGTAAACAAGGCCAGCCTCGCCCTCAGAAGGCTGCTAGGCTGATGGACAGGCGAACACACACAAGAAAACAAAAACAGTTGGGTTTGTGTGTGTGTGTTGTTGAGCACCTACAGGTGTCAGACCCTATATGCAGCACATACACATTTGCACTCATTAATTCCTAACATCCCTGCAAAGGGATATTCTATTCCCGTTTTCCAGATGCAGAAGCTGAGAACCAGAGGTTAGACCACTTGCCCAAGGCCACACAGCTGCTCAGTAGGGAGCTGATTTTCTACTCAGCCCCCAGACATCCCAGTATTCTAGGTTGCCATGGGCGCCTGGTAGAAACACCATGTTCCAGAACATACCACAGACATACTGGGGTTGACAGGAAGGAGAGACCACTTCCAACTGCAGGAGATCAGGGAGGCTCCCTGGAAGAAGCCCTCCAGGCCTGCAAAGAGGCCTCCGAGGCGGCACGGTGTGGGTCCCTGGGCAGGGTGCTGAAGACAGGGCATGGGCCCTGGCTCAGCTGTGTGGCCTCTGTGGGTCTCTCAGAACCTCAGTTTCCTTCTCTGTAAAACGGACGTGATAACCACAGCTTCACAGGCAAGGTGTGAGCATGAGCAATTTTTTTAAGGTCTGAAGCATTCTGCCATTAGAGCAGGGTCTCTCAACAGCGACCCTACTGATATTTGGGAGCAGATGATCCTTTGTTGAGGAGGACTATCCCGGGAGCTTAGGATGTCACAGCACCCCTGGTCTCTGCCCACTAAACCTCAGTAGCACCCTGAATCACAAACACTGGGACCTTTGGAACAACCAAAAGTGTCTCCAAGTTGGGCACAGCTGTGCACACCCAGAGACTTAGGAGGCAGAGGCAGGAGGATCACAGGTTTGAGGCTACCCTCAGCAACTTAGTGAGACCCTGTCTCAAAATAGAAAATAAAAACATAAAAAGGTCAAGGATGTGACTCAGCAATAGAGCTCCCCTGGGTTCAATCTCCAGTAGCAAAAAGAAAAAAAAAAGTCTCCAGAAATTGCCAAATGTCCCCCCATCTTGGATGCAAAACCATGACGAAGGACCACTGCCCTGGCCCACTGCCCCTATGGCTCTTCTCTCCTCTATTTTTTTTTTTAATCACGGTGTTTTAAATTTTTTTTTACCTTTTAACTTTTTTTTTTTTTAACCTTTTAATTTACATATTGTCTGTCCAGTTACATTCCAGCACACTGGGGCTGGGACTTTTGACCCTTTCATTCACTGATGTGGTCCCAGCATCTAGAACTGTGCTCGTCACCTAACCCGCAACCAATCCACATTTGTGCAATAAAGGGTAGAAATGCCAAAGGAAGTGCTTCGTACGTGGCATAGAAAAACCTGAACCAGCAGAGAACTAGAGGAATTTTTATTTAAGTTTGACAGGGACCTGGATCTGACACTCTGAATTTACCCTCCCCTGCCCACCCCCTCTACCCCCAACCGCTAAGCAGGGGGACAGGACTATAGCTGCTTAAAACAGATTTTTTTCCTCTTTCTTGTCGGGACTTGAGTGGGAGTGAATGCGTCAGTGCTTGGTGAGAAAAATCCTCTGCTCCGACTTGCATCTGCAGGTTTGTTATATAAAGCGCAGAAGCTCCCCTCCTGACAGCCCTGCAAACCCACATTTGGGAACTGACGCAGCTGCCCTGCACCAGCCAGGCAGCAACCATGAATCCTGAGTCCCCTCCTGGGGGACCTCCAGGGTGGGCTGGGTTGAATGCTCAGTTTTATAGGAGAGGCTCAGAAAGGCTGAAAGGAAGCCCAGCAATGTCAGTGACCACGATCAGGGCAGGAATGGGCTGGTCTTTAAGCCTCAGGAGCCCCTGGGGTTCTCTTTCTATCCTAGCATAGAATTACCTACATCAGTTGAGTAAAAGTAATCCTCCTCCCTCTGCAAAATATCCTCATAGATACTGCAGCCTCGTTACCAAGGAGGCAATAGCTATTTTTAAAGGTGCAGTGGATAAGACCAGAGAAGACAAGACCCTACTCAGGGACACACAGCAAAGTGATAGCCAAGGAACTTCTTCCTGACTCCTCACCTTCCAGTGCTCAATGTCCTCAAACACCTCAGGCTTCCAGGCCCAGCTCAGATAGCAGGAAGCCAGCAGCTGTAGGCTGCCACCACCCCACCTACCTGCCCACGCACCCGCCTGTCCCCTGTCCCACTGTGGGGTTTGCTCCACGGAGATATTCTGGACCCAGGCCACAGGTTCTCACTCTCGCGTTCTCTCTCATTCTTCCTAAGGCAGAGTCTCACCTTCTCTGAGCATTAACCTGCCAGAAGGCTGGGGGGCCAACCTGGGGACAGGTGGCCCAGAGAGGTGGTGAGCGCAGAGCTCCTGCACCAAGTCCCATAGGTCTTGGCCTCTCCAGTCCCCCTTGGTGCATCCTCAGGCCAGTTTTCAAACCTCTCTGGGCCTCTGTCTTACCCACATCAGGTAGGAGGGCTACACTTGGTCCTACCAGGTCCTGGGCTCCAGAAAGCAAGGGACTGGAGGTGACAGCATAATCCAAGCTGTGCTTGGAGGAGGAGGCCATCTGGAGGGGGTGGACCCTGCTACAGACCCCTAGAGCCACCAGCCTATCCGTGAGCAGCAGTGACCTTGGCCTTCACTGCCCTGGTTCCCTTACTCCTGGGCCCTTGACATTGGGGCAGGAGCCAGCCCTACCTGCACCCTGGTCTGGGACCAGACTGCAGGTGACACTTTAAACCTAAGTGGGAAAACCCAGGCCACTGTCAGCCAGGGCCCCCCACCTGCACCACAGGGGCCCCCTCGGGCTTCTCCTGGCCCCCACCCTCCTGGCATAGCCACACCTGGAACCCTTGTGCCACCCGCACCCCTGTAGGTCGCGATGTTGCTCACAGGGCCAGGCAGGGACAGTCGCTGGAGGGTGGAAATCTGTCCCCAAGGAGGAACAGCCCTGCATCCCGGCCAGGGAGGTGCCCAGCCCCCTCCCGCGCATCCCCTGGGCCTCTCCAGGCAGCGGCCAGGGGTCCTGGGGTCAAGTCCTGGCGCCAAACAGGGGCTGGCTCCCCTGCCCGCTGGCGAGGCCAGGCCCCACTCACCGGCCACTAGGATGGTCAGATGGCAGAGTGTGGCCAGGCTCAGCAGCCAGGCGAGAGGCGTCGGAGCCATGGCGGAGGCTGGCGAGGATCTGGGCCCGGCCAGGGCAGGCGGCTGCGTCCACGCGTTGGAGGAGCTCAGTGCTGTCCCTCCACCGCTGGAGCTCTGTCGCTTTTTATAATGGGGCTCGGCTGCCTCCGCCCCCAGCCCCCGCAGGCGGCGGTGGGAGGGGAGAGGAAGGAGCCGGGGCTGGATTCCTCCGAGGTTGCCAGGGAACAGGCGGCCAGGGGCGGCGGCAGGGTCCTGGCTGCTGCTGTCCTCCTGTCCTCCTGTCCGCCTGTCCTCCTGTCCTGGCACCGAGCGACTGGACCGGGCCTGCCGGGCTCAAAGGGCGTGTCTCCTCCCCTGCGCACAGGCCACCTCCCCTGGGAGGTAGCACAGGTCCTTGTCCTCCTTCCTAACTGGACAATCAGTGAAAGGATCGCAGGACAGGCGAATAGAGAGTCACGCAGCCCACCTGGGTGTCCCCTGCTCCCTTTTGGCCTGGGAGGTATCCCTCCCACACGGTGATGGGCCCCCAACCTCCAAACCCAAGCCCCAAACTCTGAGCTCTGGGAACCTCGCTCATCAGTCGTCTCCTGAGCTCAGCACAGGGTCAGGCAAACAGTAGGTGCTCCATGCAGTGTTTGCTGAATGAATGACCCAGTCCCACTTCAAATGGCCAGATGAGGAGGCTGAGGTCCAGAGAGGGGGCAGAAACATCCAGGTCTACAAAACATCAGGGTGGAGAACCCCCCCCCCCCCCCCCCCACCCCTGGCTGCCAGGAGAAGAGGGGGCGTGAGGTGCAGAGGCAGCCTGGGCCAGAGAAAAGGACTCTGGCCTCCCTGCCTCCTGCTCCTCAGCCTCCTTTCTTGCTTTGTATCCACGCCCATCTCCTGCTCTGTCCCCTGCCAGTCTGTGGAAATGCACTGCCAACCCTGCCCTGTGACTCCTTAACTCTGTAGAGGTCCTGGAGAGGTCCTGCCTTCTTTGGGACTTCTTGTCTTGGTCTTGGAGTAAGTCTGGTTAGTCCCCTGGGGGCTGGACTTCCTGGCTCTGGACTTGTAGGTGTCCTCTCCATGAAACTGGCAGGACCAGCAGGCCGGGGATTGAGGCCCACCTCAGCGCAGCCTTCCCTGGAGGCAGGAGAGCAGGAGCCTGGCCCAGCCTCAGGCCGCAGGGGATTGTGTGGGGCTGGTTCTCTCTGGGCAGACAGCCAGAGGGAAAACCAGTTTGTCTAGGAGCCAGTGTCCCGGGCTGGTACAGGTTGGGCTGAGCAGAGTGACCACGGCTCGCTCCATGGCCAGGGAGACTCGCTCTGTCTTCAGTCACCTCCACCCAGGCACAGATGGACACTCTGGGGTGTAAGGCCGAGAGGCTGGACACTCCTTAATTGGGGGAGCCCCCTTGGTAGAGGTCAAATGTCCACTGGGGCCCAGAGAACCTGCCCCAGGCCTTGCAGATAAGAGATCCAGGAACTTCACCTTCGCACCTTCCAACTCCTCATTTTACAGCTGGAGAAACTGGACCCAGGGAAGGTGATAAAAACGGAGATGCTCTGCCATGTGAGAGCAGGAAGGGTGAGGAGGGGGAGGAATGGGGGAAGGAGGAGAAAGCAGAAGGAGAAGGCGGTGAGGAAGGTGGAAGGAAGTGAGGGAGGAAAGAGAAGGGGAGGCATCCCGGGAAGCCCGACCTCATAAAGGACAGGAATAGAGGCCCTTGTTCCTCTGGCCCCAGAGTAGGCCCCAGGCTGGGGGGTGGGGTAGCCCAGTGATACACCACTTGCAGGTCCTGCAGGGCCCTTGGTTTGATCCCCAGCACTGGGGAGACAGGAGTGGTCAGAGAGTGAGGGCTTTGGGATTAGCTGCTGGGGCGTGGGGCGCTATTTCTGTGTGATGTCTGCAGCATCCTGCCCTATTCAGACAAATCACATGGACTCTAAGCCAGCCACTTTTTTGGGGGTGGGTACTGGGGATTGAACTCAGGGGCACTCGACCACTGAGCCCCATCCCCAGCCCTATTTTGTATTTTATTTAGAGACAGGGTCTTGCTGAGTTGCTTAGCATCTCGCCGTTGCTGAGGCTGACTTTGAACTCCAAATCCTTCAGTCTCAGCCTCCCCAGCCGCTGGGATGACAGATGTGTGCCACCTCACTGGGCTGCCAGGCACTATTTTAAGAGCTTTCCCCGAGACTGGGGTGTTGCTCAGTAGTACAGCGCTTGCCTAGCATGCATGAGGCCTAGGTCTGAGGCCCAGCACCAGAATAACTGTTTTTATGTGATCATCCCAACAAACCCAAAGTATAAGCAAAAACATGGCTCTCAGAGTCTATTTTGTGGAAGGGAAACTGAGGCATGTGCTGAAGGTAAGACACTTCCCAAAGATCATCAGTAGGAAGTGGAGGAGTCTGGGTTTGCCCCAGCTGGCTGGTTCCGGGGTTTGGGCTTAAGACCCCGAGGCTGCCCTCCCTGCCTCCGGCCCCACTGTGAGAGCCAAGTGGGTTTAGATCCCTTAGGTGCCAAGACACAAAATTGCAGGAGCGGTTAGTGTTTGCTGTTAGTGTGGGGAACTGTCATGGGATGGGGACCCAGAGATAAAAACACTGAAGTCCTTGTCCCCAAGGGCTCAGCCCAGTGGGAGGAAGAAGGCCTCGGGAGCACTAAGGCCGTGGGGCTGGGGCAGGGGAACAAGAAAGGAGGGAGAGAGAGAGAGAGAGAGAGAGAGAGAGAGGACGTTTCAATCCAAAACTGAGCAGAGGTTAAGCTTTATCAAATCAACATCTGGTTTGGAAAATTTCAAACAATGCACAGGAAGGAATGGTACAAAGCACTTTTGTATTTCCACCACTGAGGCTCAATGGTGAGGTTCTTCCATATCTGCTTCATCTTTATTTATTTATTTTTTTTTTTTGGCTAAATTGTTGCAGAGTGGATGGGATGACTGCTCCACACTGAGCCCCTAAATATATCAGCTCACATCTCCTAGAACAAAAGCACAGCATGATGCTATTATTCCACCTCACATTAACAATGACTTGTGGATGTCATCTTACACCCAGTTCAAATTCCAATTTCTCCAGTTACTACTAGAATGGTTTTAGAGGTTTTTTTTTCCCTTTTCTTTTTGGATTGGTGATTGAATCCGAGGGTACTTTACCAATGAGCTATATTCCCAGTTTTATTTACTCTATTTATTTTTAAATTTTAAGACCAGGTTTTGCTAAGTTGCTAAGGCTGGCCTTGAATTTTTTTTTTAAATTTTTTATTGTTGGTTGTTCAAAACATTACATAGTTCTTGATATATCATATTTCACACTTTGATTCAAGTGGGTTATGAACTCCCATTTTTACCCCATAGGCCTTGAATTTTTAATCCTCCTGTCCCAGCCTCCTCAAGTTGCTAGGATTACAGATAGGTGCCACCATGAGGGCTGGAAAGTATATTTTATACCTTCTTCTCCTTCCCTCCTTCATCTTCTCTTCCTCCCTTCCATCCTTCCCTTCTTGCTTTTATTTTTTGAATGAGGATCCAGTTGAGATTCATGTGTTACATATGATTATTTCTTTTTAGATCACCTGCACGTTTTTATGATCTTTTTATTGTTATTGTTATTGTTGTTCTTTTGGTACTGGGGATTGAATCCAGGGGCGCTCAACAACTGAGCCGCATCCCAGCCCTTTTTATATTTTGAGGCAGGGTCTCACTAAATTCCTTAGGGCCTCCCTAAAGATCCTTTAGGATCGTTTGAACTTGCGATCCTCCTGCCTCAGCCTCCAGAGCCACTGGGATTATAGGTGTTGACCTTTTGAAGAGTCAAGACCACTTTTTAAAAAAATGTTCTCATTCTTAATTCATCTCGTTATTTCCCGTGAGTCATCTAATGTGTTCCTTTATCCTATGCATTTCCTGTAAACTAGAAGTTAGATCTGCAGGCTGATCAGGCACCGGTGACGTGGTCTTGCCAACAATCTACCGGGAGTAATGCGGCGCACTCCGCGTGGTGCCCCCAGGGGGCGCCCGCGAGCAGGTGGCTCCGCTGTTCTGGGGCTCCCCGAGGTTGAGGGGTGGCTGGGGCCGGGTGCGGGAGAAGGATTCCCCTGCGAGTTGCAAGCGAGCTGGGGCCTGGAGTGCGGTACGCACAGAGGCAGGATCTTGACAGAGAGAAAATCCTAACCGAGGTGGACCCATTGGGGGCCGGGGAGTAATCGGACGCCACTGGCTCCCAGAAGGGCGTTGTGGGGGGCCCGCGGCTGCCCCAGACTGCGGAGGGTCTTGGAGCTGAGAGAAAGGGGGCTGGGAAGGCTTCCAGCTGAGGGTCACCAGGGTAACAACTGGGCAGGTGGACGTCCCCAGGCTGCCGCAGGGGGCTTCTTCTGGAGGGGCCAGGGGTGTTGGGGGTGGATTTGTCCCTGCGCACACACATCGCCAGGCCGCAGGTGGTTGGGACCCCATCTGGGTGCCCCAGAGAGTTGGTGCTGTGACTGTGACACAGGAGGGGGATCCCCAGCTCCGAAGCAGACTGTGGAAAGGAGGGTGGGGAGCCCCGGGTCCTGCAGGGACCCCTGCAGGGCCCAAGGAGAAAGAAGGCTGGGGCCCCGCCCACCATCTCCAGGGGCTGGGAAGAGCGCATCCAAACCACCCTAACCATTGTAAGTGTGCCCTTTGGTGGCAGCGAGTGGCTTCACACTGTTGCACTACTACCTCCACATGTCACCTCCAGACGTTTTTCACCTTTACAAACTGAGACTCTAACGTACTAAACACCGACTCCCATGCTCACCTCCCCCCTACTCACCTCTGTCCCAGGTTGCCACTGTTCTACCTCCTGCCTCTGGGATCTTGACTACTCTAAGAACCCCCTTCAAAAGAAACAACGCGTGTCATTTTGTGACTGGCTTATTTCACTTAATGTAATGTCCTCCAGGTTCATCCAGGTGTCACATGTATCAGACTTCTCTCCTTTGGGGGTCGAGTGGTATTCCATTGGATGGATACATCCTGTGTTTATTGGCTCATGTGCTGATGGACACTT